GAAAATACCTATTTTCAAGTGTCAATACATGTGGAAATAATCATGGAAAGCCGGTCATCTCAAAAGCTACTTTTTTTTTTTTTTTTTTAAGATTTATTTATTCAGAGAGAGAGAGGCAGAGGCACAGGCAGAGGGAGAAACAGGCATGGGACTTGATCCCGGGTCTCCAGGATCACGCCCTGGACTGAAGGTGTCGCTGCGCCACTGGGGCTGCCCAATGTTATACTTTTTGATGCAATAACAGTACTTCTAGATATCAAAAGGAAATAATCTATAAGAAGTTTCATATATAAAAATGTTTATCTAATTATCAGAGGAAAAACTTGCTAGTGTTCAGCATTCGGCTAACTATGAACTTTCTCTGAACCAGACATAACAGGAATCAGGCACTATCTCAGATACTAAAAGGAGAAGGAGAAGCAGGCTCCCCACTAAGTGCAGAGCAAGGACTCAATCTTACAAACGTGAATCATGACCTGAGCCCAAATAAGGGTTGGATGCTCAACCAACTGAGCCATCCAGGTGCCTCATAATATGTCTTTATATAAAGAAAGAGGAACACAAACAATACATTTTCTAACACCACTCATACATACTTGAAGACAGAGAAATAGATTTGATAGGCTATAGAGCAAACTAATTTTAGTGGTGACCAATGGAAAAGGGTAGGAAGTGGGACTGGCTTTGGTCACCAATGGGATTTTTGTCTTATTTGTAATTGTGAAATATAAAAAATTTATTTATTAAAAAAGATGTATACAGGGATGCCTGGGCAGCTCAGTGGTTGAGCGTCTGCCTTCGGTTCAGGGCGTGATCCTGGAGACCGGGGATTGAGTCCCACATCGGGCTCCCTGCATGGAGCCTGCTTCTTCCTCTGCCTGTATCTCCCTCTCTCTCTGTCTCTCATGAATAAATAAATAAAATCTTAAAAAAAAAAAAAAGAAAGATTTATTTGAGAAAGAGAGCTATCACAAGGAAGGGGGGTAAGGGCAGAGGGAGAAACAGACTCCCCAGTGAGCAGGGAGCCCAATGTGCGATGCCATCCCAGGACCCTGGGATCATGACCTGCACCGAAGGCAGACACTTAACCAACTGATCTACCCAGGTGGCCTGATTTGTGCAATTTTAAAATGATTTTATTTATTCATTCATGAGAGACACAGAGAGAAGGCACAGACATAGGCAGAGGGGGAAGCAGGCTCCCCACAGGTAGCCCGATGCGGAACTCAATCCCAGAACTCCGGGATCATGCCCTGAGCCGAAGGGAGACATCCAACCACTGAACCACTCAGGCATACCTAATTTGTGCAATTTTTAGAAGGTAATGTGTTCACGTATCATTTATGATTAAGAAATACATATATTCTTTAAAGATATAAAACAAAGTAAATGGTATGAGAACAATATAAAAAAAAATAAACCATGTAATAAAGACTCCAGACACAGGACAATAAAATATAACATGTGGCCCTGGACTCAATCCTGGATCAACAAAATCAACTCTTTCTTTTGTTGTAAAGGATATTTGTAAGACAACAGGCAAGATTCAAATAAGGGGTGCAGATCAGATCACAGAATTATGTCAATCTTAATTCCTCATTTGATAACTATAGTGTGGTTATATAAAACAGTGTTTCTGAATCTAGGGAACATGCTATATTTAAATGTAAAGGGGCATAATGTGTGTAACTGATTGTCAATTGTTTGGGGGGAAAATATACACAGAGACGAAGAAGAAAGAGAAATAAACATGAAATAAATGAGAATAAGAAATCTAAAGTGTTAAAGAGCTAACACTTGGGGAAAGTGGTTGAAGGACACATGGAAATTCTAGTGCTATTTTCACAACTTTAAGTCTGAAAAAACATTTTTTTTTAAGTTACAAGCAAATAATTACATGCAATTGTATTTTGGTTTGGTTATCTGCCAAAGGTGACCTTTCACATACCATATGTCACAGCAATTCCACTTCTAGGTGTATACCCAAGAGAAATGAAAACATACATCCATACAAAAACTTGTATATGGATGTTCATCACAGCATCATTCATTAGAGCCCCCAAATGGAAATAGTCCCAACAAAAAATATGTGGCATACACAATGGATTATCATTCAGCAAAAATGAAAATGGGTACACGCTGCAACACAGATGGATCTAGAAAACATTATGTTAAGTGAAAAAAGCCAAACACAAAGCACTATATATGGTATAATTTATTCAAAATGTCTACAACAAGCAAGTCCACAGAGAAAATAGGTCAGTCATTGCCTAGGCCTGGCAAAGTTGGAAAATAGAGTACGTGTTAGTTTTTTTAGGGGAGGAGGATACATTATGAAGACATTCTGTAACTGAATGTAGTCATGGCTTTGTAATTGTGAACATACTAAAAATCCAAATCACTGAGCTGTACATTTTATAAGGTGAACTGTATGCCATGTAAACTCTATTTCAATAAAGCTTAAATAGAAAAAAAAATCAGAGGATATTTTCCAAAATGGATATAATACAAATGTCCATCAATGGTTAAAATAAATAAATAGATTATGGTGAATGCAATAAAACTATAACTATAAACAATGTGTATTACTCTAAGTGTTGAGCAAAATAAGCCAGTCACAAAGGAGTTGTATGTGTAAGTCTAAGTATAAAAGTTCCAAGAAGGGCAAAACTGATCTGTGACGTTAGAAGTCAGAATATTCATGGAGATCCCTGGGTGGCTCAGTGGTTTAGCACCTGCCTTCAGTCCAGGGCGTGATCCTAGAGTCCCAGGATCGAGTCCCACGTCAGGCTCCCTGCATGGAGCCTGCTTCTCCCTCTGCCTGTGTCTCTCCCTCTCTCTCTCCCTCCCTCTCTCTCTCAATCTGTGTGTCTCTCATGAATAAATAAATAAAATCTTTAAAAAAAAATTGAAAAGTAAACACAAATTACATCAAAAGTTTATGTATTACACATAATATATATATATATATATATATATATATTTTAGATTTATTTGAGACAGAGCAAGTGAGAGCGTGTATGCAAGCAAACACAGAGGGGAAGGGTGGAGAGAGAGGAAAAGGAAGGAGGAGGGACAGAGGGAGAGGGAAGGGAGGAAGAGAGAGGGAGAGAGAGAGAAAACAAATGAATCCCAAGCAGACACTGCACTGAGCCTGATGCAGGGCTCAAGACTACAATCTGAGGTGAAACCAAGAGTCTGCTCCGTAGCCAACTGTGCCACCCAGGTGCCCCTACAAAATATTGTTCAAAGTATTTCATAATAAAAAAATACATGCAGGGAAAGGTGAAGTGTAGATAAGGGAAGCTTAGCAAGTTAAGTGATTGGTCTCAAATTACAAACTGTTAATTTGTCACGTTCCATTATCTTTTTGGTCATTAAAAGGGGAACTTCATCATACAATACAAACATATCAAGGTTACACAATAGCTCAAGATTAGTTTTTTTTTTTATTTTTTAATTTTTTTAAAGATTTTATTCATTTATTCATGAGAGACAGAAGAGAGAGGCAGAGACACAGGCAGAGGCAGAGGGAGAAGCAGGCCCCACGTAGGGAGCCCGACGTGGGACTCGATCCCGGGTCTCCAGGCCCAGGCCCTGGACTGAAGGCGGCGCTAAACCGCGGAGCCACCCGGACTGCCCCAAGATTAGCTTTTAAATAACAGTATTAATGGGAGCATGTACAGGTAATACATTTAAGTTACCTGTTTATTTTCTTTTACATATTAATTAATTAGAAATTCAAGTACATACAATATCATAATCTCAGCATGGTATAACAGCTTCCTTTTATTTATTTATTCATTCATTCATTCATTCATTCATTCATTCAACAGCTTCCTTCTAAAAAATTTATAAATTGTCGCTACACTGAGACACAAATTATGTTTCCATACTTTCTGTGGTGAAAATGAGACCTGTAATATTTTCTGCTAGGCTCATGGAGTAAAGAGAAGTAGTAAGACTTTGAATATTAGAAAAAATTAAGGAATAAAATTTTAGATCACTTGACAAAATAGCTATCAGTGTATTTCCTACAATTTGACTTCTTGGTTACTGGAAGGGAATTTATGAAGTATGTCTATATTCAAGTGGAGATCAAAGAAGCCCAGCTGAAAGAACTCTAGACTGACAGCGACAACTGTGGACTGAACAAAAGTTCCTTCTAAAAGGGCTATTCTGAAGATTATGATTCTGACTTTGGAGGAAGTATGGTGATCAGCAGTGGAAGAAATCACATGTAAAATTCCTTAAATAAAAACTTACTAAAAAAAAAAAACTTACTGACTTTATTTACGTATTTATTTTTTTAAGAGATTTTATTTATTCATGAGAGACACAGAGAGAGGCAGAGACACAGGCAGAGGGAGAAGCAAGCTCCATGCAGGGAGCCTGATGTGGGACTCGATCCCGGGACCCCGGGGTCACGCCCTGAGCCGAAGGCAGGCGCTAAACAGCTGAGCCACCCAGGGATCCCCAGCTTATTGACTTTAAATTTAAAAAACTAAAAATTTCCTGCTAAATCATAATACAACATGTCTGCCACAGATTGATGTATAAAAAGACAAGTTTGGAGCTTCGGTCCCTAAAGTCCAGATTGGGATTTATCACCTCAGACCTTTCTCTATGCACAGAAACTAACACTCTTTGTCTTTATCTCCTACAATGTATTTTTATTTCAAATTGAAAGAGAAAGACTAATGAAATTGGAAAATAATTTAGAAAGAATATCATTAAATTAGAAAATGTATAATCACAAAATAACAAAATGAAAAAATTTTAAATGCGCTACAATTACACTTAGCAGGGATAATACAAGAATAATGTAAGCCTTAAATAATTGTATAGTTTTAAACTCAGGGGTAGTTTTCAACGCTTAGGATTTGTCAAACTTAACAAACCATTTTTAGTCACAAACAAAGTCAAAACAAACAAGCAAACAAAATAAAGTCACATAATCACAATGTGACTGTCAGGAAAGATGCTCAGTGATCACTTACCATATAGTAACCAGTATGATAGCCACTCATGTACCAAGAGATTAACATACTTCCCAAAGCATCAGCATCATCAAGAGAATCTGGACATATCGGAGGTGGTGGAGGAATTATCTGGAAATGGAGTAAGTCAATATTCTAAAGTCAATAAACAAGAACTGAAGTCTGGACATCCATTTTACATAGAGAATGCTGGATTAGTGGTATCTTTCCCTACATTTCATGCCATTTCCTACTTAAAACTCAAAAAAAAAAATCTGACATTTTGAAAAAGCTAACCAGTAACAACACAAAAAACCAACAAAATTTAAATGAGTTAGAATCGTGACACCTGGGTGGCTCAGTGGTTGCGCATCTGCCTTTGGCTCAGGTTGTAATCCCCAGGTCCTGTGACTGAGTTCCATATCAGGCTCCCCATGGGGAACCTGCTTTTCCCTCTGCCTCTGTCTCTGTCTCTGCCTCTCTCTCTGTGTCTCTCATGAATAATAAAAATCTTTTTTTCTTTTCCAAAGAAAGAATAAGAGGGCAGCCAGGTGGGCTCAGCAGTTTAGCACCACCTTCAGTCCAGGGTCTAATCCTGGAGACCCAGGATGGAGTCCCACGTTAGGCTCCCTGCATGGAGCCTGCTTCTCCCTCTGCCCGTGTCTCTGCCTTACACACACATTCTCTCTCTCTCTCTGTGTCTTTCATCAATAAATAAATAAAATCTTTAAAAAAAAAATAAGAATCAAAAGACAACAGATCACATAAAATGTTTAGATACTTTCATTTTTCAATTATTATTGTTCCATTACGAAGCTATGGGTAAAAGACCAAGAATATTGTACTTTTGTCCCCCCCCCCCAAGATTTTATTTCTCTCTCTCTCTCCGAATAAATAAAGAGCATGTGCATGCATGCGAGTGGGCATAGGGGCAGATGGAGAAGGAGAGAATCTCAAGGAGACTCTGCACTGAGCATGGAGCCCATGAAGGGGCTCAATCCCACGACCCTGAGATTGCGACTTGAACCAAAATCAAGAATCAGATGCCCAGCTGACTGAGCCATCCATGTGTCACAAATATAAATACTTTTATGGTTTTACTCGAAAAATACCCATACAACATTTTTTTTCCCCATACAACATTTTAAGTAAAGGTCCTGTGTTGCTCCCACTGGAACACACAAAGCATCTTATATCTAGTCTATCACTGATAACCAGAAGTCTACCATTAGATAGCCAAATAGTCTATGTGAAGTTAACATCCAAGCATATCTGGAAAGAGCAAACTATTAATCCTTTTTTTAAAAAAGAATTTATTTACTCATGAGCAACACACAGAGAGAGGCAGAGACAGGCAGAGGGAGAAGCAGGCTCCACAGTGGGAGCCTGACATGGGACTTGATCCCAGGATCACGATCTGAGTCAAAGGCAGATATTTAACCACTGAGCCACTCAGCTGCCCGCTATTAATCCTTATTTATGGTGTAATTAAATCCTTTCAAATAGGAGCTACCTCCGTACAGAATGGGAAACAATTTCTGAGAGGAAGGAAGCAGGCAATATGGGCCTCAGAGTTGGGGCTGATAAGAGGACTGAGTCTGGGTAGCAGACGGGCATTAAAAACAAAAACCTGAGGTTTAGTTCAAATTTTTACCCATTAGAATGTGACCATAGGGATAGTCTAAAATGACATTTCCCAACAACCTATGTGCTGCATTAAATCCCCAAGAATGTATGAAAGCAAAGTTTAATCTGAATCCTTTTGCACTTACTGGTGGTCCAGAAGGAAATGGAGGCAGCCAGCATGATAGGAAGTGTGGTGGTGGTGGAGGTGGTGGTGGGCCACTGAATTTTACACCAGGCTGTAAAGAACATTTCAAAGGAAGATTAATTTACCAATTTACACATGAAAGGGGGAAAAAGATTCAATACCACAGAGTCAAAATAATCAACCAGAATAATATACATATCAAAAAAGATGAAATAGTTTCATATATCAAATAGTAAAGACTTACAAATCTAGATTTTCCTCGTTTCCTTTCTATAATAAACATTCAAAAAGTAGTTCAAAATAAGAAAGATTCCTAATTACCTCATAAATCAGAGACAGTGGTATTTATTTATTTATTCATTCATTTATTTATTTTAAAGATTTATTTATTTATTCATGAGAGAGACAGACTGAGAGAGAGAGAGGCAGATACACAAGCAGAGAGAGAAGCAGGCTCCATGTAGGAGGCCAACCGCTGAGCCACCCAGGTGTTCTCCCCCCGCACCCCCCCCTCGCCTTTTTTTAAAATAAGAGACAGTGGTATTTAGCAAGATGTTTCAATCATAAAAGACTATCGCCCCTCACAATTTTGCTAATTAAGTTGTATAATCCTTTTTTTTTTTTTAAGATTTATTTATTTGACACACAGAGAGAACACAAGCAGTGGGAGCTGCAGGCAGAAAGAGAGGGAGACATAGGCTCCCTGCTGAGCAGGGAGCCTGATGTGGGGCTCGATCCCAGAACCCTGGAACTATGACCTGAGCCAAAGGCAGATACTTAACCAACTGAGCCAACCAGGCCCCTAAACTGTATAATCTTTTTATGGATATCCTTTGAGTTACATACACTACTATAAATCATATATTGTACAAAAATTAGCAAACCCCTCATTTAATAAGAAAGATCAGCCCTCTGAAACCAATGAAGTATGATATATAAACCAAGAAGTTTAATCATTCTCGAAATTGTAATATAGTATAAATCTAATAAGAAATCTCTCACAAAAAAATCTCTCACAGAAAATCTTCAGAAAAAGCTTTAATAAGTTGTGATTTTTAATTTTATTTATTACTATTACTGTCTGAATACTATCACTGCCAGGAAGAAATCAATGCTTTATACAAAACAACTGTATAAACACACCTACTTGGGTTCTATGATATAACTTAAAAATCTTTTGTAACTTAAAACCAAAAGAACCATAAAGGAAAACAATATTTACATTTTCCTCTATAAAACAATCTGAGAGCACCTAAGGATTTAATCTATATATTAGGTGTAAATATTGTGTTTTCTTCCAATTTTAATACACTTACCGAAGTGATGTGGAGAACTAGAGTATAACACCTAGACGGTAAAACACCATAATAGTTTCTAACTTAAGTTCACAAATTTATTAGTCTAATACTCAATCCTCCATAAAAAAATAGTTGGGAGGGACACCTGTGTGGCTCAGCTGTTGAGCATCTGCCTTTGGCTCAGGCCATGATCCTGGGGTTTGGGGATGGAGACCTGCATCAGGCTCCCCACAGGGAGCCTGCTTCATCCTCTGCCTGTATATCTGCCACTCTCTGTGTCTCTCATAGAGTAAGAATAAATAAATAAAATCTTAAAAAAAAAAAAAAGTCAGGAAGGTCTTTCAGTATAAACTACTCTGAATTACTATCTCATTTCCTTTGTAAAGAATTTTCAAGTGTGTGGGATGCCTGGGTGGCTCAGTGGTTGAGCATCTGCCTTTGGCTCAGGGCGTGACCCCCAGAGTCTCGGGATCGAGTCCCACACTGGGCTCCCTGCATGGAGCCTGGTTCTCCCTCTACCTGTGTCTCTGCCTTTCTGTGTGTCTCATGAATAAATAAATAAAATCTTAAAAAAAAATTTTTTTTCAAGTGTAGATTTAGAATACCTACAAAAAACTACAAAAGTTTCATAGAAAAGCTAAAACTCATTTAATATAGTATTTTTTTTTTTTTTAAGTTCTAGAATTATTAACAATTTTCTGGGAAACCTTTTCTGGGTAGAAATTACCTTTCCTGGTCCCAGTCCCGATCCTGACATTGGGGGTGGTGGAGGGAGAAAAGAGTTCCATGGAGCAGCTTTTGACTTGATGTTATTTGGTTTATTTCCAGGAGACCTGGAGGAGTTCTCACTTTCATCTGTTGAAATTTGACTTTCATTTTCATTCTTTAAAAAGAAAAAAATAGACGTATTCTTGTTATAAAGGTATCATTAAAAAAAAATTAATGCTCAGTAGATCAAACAACAACTAATTGTTTAATTTCTCATGCCCTCTTGGCTTCTAAGAATTCTTTTTTTTTTTTTTTCTTCTGTATCCTTACCTCCTGAGTATCCTGTTCTACATTATTTGCTACTTCACAGGCTGGGGAAAGTAGATCAGACACATTTTGCTCCTCCCTATTTCCATATCCAGTATAAACCACAACGCAGGTTTCTCTCTTAAAATCAATTGAAGCAATGGTAGCTGGGTAAATGCACCCGTCTTCTGACCAAACAGCAGAACATTTGTCACCAACTTTCCACTATAAAAGAAACCAAAGATATATACATGTACATATCTCTTTTAAAGAGGATAAACTGCAATCTTGTTTAGGTAGGGTATAGCAGGTTGTGGAGGGGACAGTCTCTGGCTAACTGATCTGGAAGGCAGAATGACATAATCGAAAAGCCTTGGGAGAAAAAACAAAGAAATCTAAATTTCCCATATAAATATAATTGTTTATAGACTCATGCCACATATTTGCCATAAATACAAATTCTGCAATTTTTATAATCATGGATAAGTTTCTTAATCTCCTTAGGTCTCATTTTCATCTGTTAAGTAATTATAATAAAATCTACCTCATATATATTTGCTGTGAAGAACAGAAAGGGGAGAAAGTGTCTAAAGTGTACTACACTCTGGTTCAGCACACATCGAGAGCTTATCAAAGTTATCTTTCTTCCCCCTTAGTAATAAAACTAAAGGAACAGATGAGACATCAAAATATTTAGCTTTCAGGTCTAGTTTTATTTTTTTTTAAATATTTATTTATTTATTTATTCAGAGAGAGAGAGAGAGAGAGAGAGAGAGGGAGGGAGAGGCAGGCTCCATGCAGGGAGCCTGATGTGGGACTTGATCCCAGGTCTCCAGGGTCACACCCTGGGCTGCAGGCGGCGCTAAACCGCTGCACGCTAAACCGCTGCACCACCGGGGCTGCCCAGGTCTAGTGTTTTAAATAACAAAAGATTCTACCCAGATTTTTGGTTCCTGAGTATTAGTTTAATGTTTTTTGACGGAAAATAGAAAAAAAAAAAAAAGCATGGCCATCTATCAGTTTAAGCAGAACACTGCCAAGTCAGTTTCAGGCCCTGAGTTTCAGGCTACTCCTCCCAAATAGCACGGGGTTCCTCAACCCCACCCCTCACAGAAAGTAAACACGATCTTCAATGTATCATTCCCACTTACTTTATTATACTCTAATTAACATGCATGTTTCTAAACTATAGAAAGTTTAATAGCTATCTTAGAAATGTTATGATTACATGTCAATGGAAAACATCATACTAATCATTTAAGTTAAAGAGATTTTCACTATTATTAAAAACAGTAACAAGAAATTCTTTGAAGTTCAAACTCAATGTTCTAAAAATAACCTGCTTCAGGGCTGTGGTAGCATTCTTTTTTTGGCTTTTATTCTTCTTAGCAGGCTTTCTTTTAGGTGTGCTTTTTGGTTTATCTGAAGCTTCAGAAATGTCACCATTCTTTAGCGCATGCTATGAAAACATGAACAGAAAGGTACATGTTAAAGGGTAAGACACGAAAGAAGTGTAACAATATAATCTGGTCACTGCAAGCTGATCTCAAGGCCCCATCAATTCAGACAGCCTCTATTTCCTCTTTTCATCTTCCCACATGCTACAGAAACTATTCTGGAGGGAATCATATATCCGATCAGCAGCCCTAAGGACCCTTTTAATCAAGTCCTCACTCTCAACCTTTTTGTAATATTAAATTCTGTTGATTGTCTTGAAATTCATGACATTTTGGATGATATAGCAATGCAGAACTTCAATACTTTATTGCCTCTCTGATTGAGTCTTAAACTTGGGCATTCCCCAAAACAACTGTCCATCCTTCTTTATTTGCTTATGATCATCTATTCCTATCAACCTTTATAACTTCTATATAAGCAGACTTTATTTTTTTTTAATTTAATTTATTTTATTTATTTATGATAGGCACACAGTGAGAGAGAGAGAGAGAGGCAGAGACATAGGCAGAGGGAGAAGCAGGCTCCATGCACCGGGAGCCCGACGTGGGATTCGATCCCGGGTCTCCAGGATCGCGCCCTGGGCCAAAGGCAGGCGCTAAACCACTGCGCGACCCAGGGATCCCTAAGCAGACTTTTTAAAAATTTAATTTATTTATTCATGAGAGACACAGAGAGAGAGAGAGAGAGAGAGAGAGAGAGGTAGAGACACAGGCAGAGAGAAGCAGGCTCCATGCAGGGAGTCTGACATGGGACTTGGGACTAGATCCTGGGTCTCCAGGACCACACCCTGGGCTGAAGGCGGCGCTAAACCGCTGAGCCCCACCCGGGATGCCCTGTAAGCAGACTTCTAAAACTATTGTCCAGCAGTCATTTCTTCTTTATTAATCCAACATCTCCAAATACCAATTTCATATCTTTACATTTACTTTAAACTTAACACAATTAAAAGTAAACTATCGGGGTGCCTGGGTGGCTCAATTGGTTAAGTATCTGACTCTTGATTTCAGCTCTGGGCATGATCTCAGGGTTGTGAGATAGAGTTCCACATCAGGCTCTGTCCTCAGCATGGATAGAGTCTGCTTGGGATTCTTTCTCTCCTTCACCTTTTCCTCTCCCTCTGCTCGTTTGCTCTTTCTGAAAAAGTACATCTTTAAAAATAAATAGAAATTAACTATCTTTTCCTCTACTCAGACTACTTCCCTCTGCAATATTGTCAATTGCATCCAACGCTGAGACCCACTTTAATTTGCATTTTACAGAACCTTGTATTAGCATGCTTCTACTCTAAGGGCATATAGAAAAGCATTACTGACAACTCTGAACTCCGCTTCAAGGATAACATACGGGTTTGATCTTTACCTCATGAGGGAAAGAAGTGGACTTTCTACTTGGTGCTCTCTATGAGATATGCTCTTTTCTTGGACTATTGATGGTCCATGCATCATGCTCAAAAAACTAAATACCTCACATGGTAGGAAAGGGATGACGCTGGTCAACTGTGTAAATGTCTTTTTTGAGCCACAACAACAGAATTCATCCCCTCAAAGAATTGTATATTCCTACCATGAGGAACACTTGACTTGATAATGAACTCACAGGATTTGGGGAGGATTAATTTAAGTAAAGCACTTAGAATGGTGCATAATATGTTGTAAACATTCTACAAGTGCTAATTATAAGACTATTGGTATTATTATTATTTCAATGAAGGCTTTTTTTTAAATTTTTATTTATTTATGATAGTCACACAGAGAGAGAGAGAGAGGCAGAGACACAGGCACAGGGAGAAGCAAGCTCCATGCACAGGGAGCCCGATGTGGGATTCGATCCGGGGTCTCCAGGATCACGCCCTGGGCCAAAGGCAGGCGCCAAACCGCTGCGCCACCCAGGGATCCCTCAATGAAGGCTTGTTAAATGAAAATTATAACTCAGGCTTCCCTTCCACTAATCTGAGTTAGAGGACTTCTATAGTTTGATACAATGCAAACACATTAAAAGTAATTAATGTTTAAAATTCTACTTCAGTTGCCTTTGCGAAAGGGATGACATCTAGAGAGCCTACCAACTTCTGAAGGAAGATGATCAGCTAAGTTAACTAACCAATGATATCTACTGGTCTTCAAAATTACAACTGAATAATATGTATTTTGACATCTAAGTATGTTATCAGTTAAGTTTTTTCCCAAATGATTAACGTGAGGAAATAAGGAAAAGAATAAATATTTCATACCTTAAATGAAGCCACAGCTTTATCATAAGCTTTTATCAATGCTGTATCATCCCAAATGTCAGAGTCATCACTCTGGGAAGGGTAAAGAACAAAAATAATTAGTGTTTAAATGAATTTCATAAAAAAATGTACATTAGATAACATCAAGAGCCATCTTACCCCACACATAATGAAATTACGCTACAAACAGGTATTTTAAATCCTAAATAAACTACAAGAAGCCTACTTAGAAAGTATGTGACGTTATCCTCAAAGCTAGACCTATGTCAATGTTCTAAGATGTATACTGAAAAGTGAATGCTCCACAATTTAATGAGTAAGTCGATCTGACCAAGGGTCCATGTTTCAATCTCTTCTAAGAGCTGATAAAGGGTTTTGTTTGGCAGTGTGGGAAAATATCTGGCTATTCACTTGACTTTATACAGACTATAGTCATGTAATTCTGACCACAGAGTCTGTGGTCTAAAGAATATTCTTTTCCCCTTCACTTACACTATGTCTAGATCATTCAAAGAATTCCCAAAATGTTCAGGGGGTTGCAAATTATCAATAGTGATCAATCAATTTTCATTTTTTTTAAAAAATGTATTTATTTATTCATGAGAGACAAAGAGAGAGAGGCAGAGACACAGGCAGAGGGAGAAGCAAGCTCCATGCAGGGAGCCTGATGTGAGACTCGATCCCGGGGCTCCAGGATCACACCCTGGGCCCAAGGCAGGTGCGAAATCACTGAGCCACCCAGGGATTCCCCTCAATTTTCATTTTAAACAGGAGTGGTATTAAGTAATCTGGAAAACACTCAGGTATCAGTAATTCCTATTTTTACTTAAATTTAATTCAATTTAAAAAGTACTGTTTTTGAATATCCATTATCTCCTCAGCACTGATTGCTGAGAAATATATGAAATCATCCTATTTTTTTTTTAAAGATTTTATTCATTTATTCATGAGAGACACAGAGAGAGAGACAGAGACACAGGCAGAGGGAGAAGCAGGCTCCATGCAGGGAGCCCGATGTGGGACTTGATCCCGGGTCTCCAGGATCATGCCCTGAGCCAAAGGCAGATGCTCAACAACTGAGCCACCCAGGGATCCCATCCTACCTGTTCTCAAGAGAGATGGTCTAAATAGGAATTTAAAACAGTGTCACAAAAAAAAAAAAAAAAGTGTCACATAAAACAAAAAATATAAAACATATGATGTAATACTATGATTTGAAGTACAACAATAAACGTCTGAATTAAAAGAAACGAATTTTCTGTTTCAAGATACCAACTTAGCAAGGTCCTGAACTCATCCTGCCAACACACCAAAATTTACAGCTACATATGGAACAAATTCCTCTAAGGAGAAAACAATAAAAAGAAATACACCTAAAAACTAGTTAAGCAATTCCCATTAGGCAAACAAACAAACCCTACACTGAAGTGGTAAAAGAAATGGAGACATAGCCTTGCCATAAACCCCTCCCTGGTGCAGGGACCCATAACAGAGAAGAAACTCAAAACCCAGGGCTTCTCCCTGAAGGGCAAAGAGTTTGAAGCCCAAACTGAGCACCTCAACTTTTAAGACCTGCACCTGAGAGATGAGCCCCCAAAACATCTAGCTTTAAAATCTCGGGGAGGGTGGTGGGCTGCCTGGGTGGTTCAGCTATAAACGTCTGGCTCTGATTTCAATTCAGGTCATGATCTCAGGGTTGTGAGATCAAGTTCCAAGTTGGGCTCTGGGATCAGCAGAGATTCTCTCCCTCTCCTTCCATTTCCCCCTCCCCTCCTCACCATGCACATGCTCTAATTAAAACGAAACAAAATGGGGATTCATGGAGTGCCTGGGAGACTCAGTTGGTTAAGTATCCAACTCTTGATCTTAGTTCAGGTCTTGATCTAAGGGTTGTAAGTTTAAGTACTGCATTAAAAAACAATAAAGCACTCAGGTATCAGTTATTCCTATTTTTACTTTAATTCAATTTAAAAAGATATATTTTTGAACATCCATTATCTCCTAAGCATTCATTGCTGAGAGATATATTTTTATTGGGGCACCTGGGTGGCTCAGATCATGATCTCAGGATCTAGCTCTGCACTCAGTAGGGGGGCCTGCTTGTGGATTCTCTCTCCCTCCTTCAATGGTTAAGGGGATAAATTCTGTTACGTGTGTGCTTTTAAACCACAATTAAAACAATGTATTTTGATCTGTGAGGCTACAAGTCCAACTAGAATCAGTTTATTCTATATAACAGCTTAAAATAAGTTTAGATACATAATGTTGGTAATGAGAAGATAAGTTACAAAACACCTGTAGTACCTAGGATTTGGTACAATGTTAATCAAGGAGTTCTAAAGAAGTCTGTAATAAAATTCATTTAGCTGTAAAACTAGTTTAGGTGACTTTGCTAATATCCATTATATTAAGAAAAATAGGTTCCATGTACAACTGTTAATCTCACTTAAAAAAAAAAAAGATTTTTATTTTTTCATGAGAGACACAGAGAGAGGCAGAGACACAGGCAGAGGGAGAAGGAGGCTCCCTGCAGGAAGCCCAATGCAGAACTCAATCCCAGGGCCCCAGGATCACAACCTGAGCCAACAGTAGACGCTGAACCACTGAGCTACCCAGGTGTCCCTAATCTCACTTTTTGATATGTCTTTAAAAAAAATCATTAAATCATGGGATACCTGGGTGGCTCAGCGGTTGCACATTTGCCTTCACTCAGGTCATGATCCTGGGGTACTGGGATTGAGTCCTGTATTGGGTTCCTTGCATGTAGCCTGGTTCTCCCTCTGCCTGTCTGTCTCTATCTCTGTGTCTCTCATGAATGAATGAATGAATGAATGAATAAATAAATAAATAAATAAATCCTTTTAAAAAAACATTAAATCTTTGTGTAGAAAAGAAAAGTAATCACAGAGGTAACTGATTTGTCCAAGGTTACACTTGGAGAGGGGAGATGTTCCTTTGAGATTTGGTGAAGGGCAAGAAAGCAAACAGAAGGATAATGAAGATATTAAAAAAAAAAAAATCACATAATTAGAAGACATACCAATTTCCCTGCAGCTGCAAAATGTAGTGCTGATAAAGAAAATTCCACTGTATCAAAAGAAGGCTTTTTTTTTTTTTTTAAAGTGAGCTCCATCCAATGTGGGCCTTGAACTCACTCAAGACCCTGAGATCAAGACCTGAGCGGAGATCAAGAGTCAGACACTTGAATAATTGAGCCACTCAGGCACCCCAGGAGAGGGCATTCTTAAAAGTGAAACACAACTCAAAATCCTCACATCACAATGGTTATTGTCAGATCAGAGAAAACAGGTATTTCAAAATGAAAAGAAAAGTCACTGCAGTTTTATACAAAGCTGTTATAACAAAAAATATTGTAGCTGATAAAACTTCCCAAATAACAATCACAAAAAGAAAACAGAGGCAGCCCAGGTGGCTCCGCGGTTTGGTGCTGCCTTCGGCCCAGGGCATGATACTGGAGTCCCAGGATCAAGTCCCACATTGGGGTCCCTGCATGGAGCCTGCTTCTCCCTCTACCTGTGTCTCTGCCTCTCTCTCCCTGTGTCTCTCATAAATAAATAAATAAAATCTTAAAAAAAAAAAAATCAAGAAAGAAATGGAAGAAAAAATAACATTGCCTACAAGGTACCCAAAGAATACATTTGGCTGAAAATTTAAGAGGTACTGAAGAAAAAACAAAACAAAAACAACAACAAAAAAAGAGGTACTGAAGAAAAGACATAAAAGAAAGAAAGAAGAAACAAGTGAAATGATAAATATGGATGACTAGCAAAGAATATTTAATGTGTATATAAATGGGGGTCCCAGAAGTATAAGAGCTTAAAAAACAAAAAACTCTAAAAAAATTTTTCAGAGCCTCTTAACAAAAAAGACCAAGTCATTTACAAAATAAAGAAAATCAGTTATTATTAGACTTTCTCATAAAAATTTATGGGAAAAAATAGGAGTTTAAGATTTTGTGATATACCCTCCCTGTCCTTTGAGTACCAAGACTAATTTACAATGTGCAGAAACACTATACTCACTAGTGTTTGCAGAAGAATCTACTGAATATAAGCTTTATTATTTTTTTAAAGATTTGATTTATTTATGACAGACATAGAGAGAGATGCAGAGGCAGAGGAAGAGGCAGGCTCCATGCCAGGAGCCCAACACGGGACTCGATCCTGGGGCTCCAGGATCACGCCCCGGGCCAAAGGCAGGTGCCAAACTGCTGAGCCACCCAGGGATCCCCTGAATATAAGCTTTAATCAACCAAGATATGAATAGAGAAATCTTGGGTTTAAAAAGAAAAAATCCAGGGGGAATCCATGGGTGGCGCAGCGGTTTGGCGCCTGCCTTCAGCCCAGGGCGTGATCCTGGAGTCCCAGGATCAAGTCCCATGTCGGGCTCCCTGCATGGAACCTGCTTCTCCCTCTGCCTGTGTCTCTGCCTCTCTCTCTGAGTAAAAAAATAAAATCTTTTAAAAAAATTAAAAAGAGAAAATCCAATGCTGGTTAGCAACAAATATATTTAATTGCAGTTCTAAGAAAAAAGTAAAGTATATTTGACCCTTGAACAATGAAGGGTAGAGGGTAAGGGGCGCTGACTCTTCCCTAAACCCTCCCCTCATTCAAATATCTGTTTAGAAAAATTTTTTAAGTGGGCTCTATACCCAACATGGGGTCGAAATCATGACCCAAAATCAAGAGTCACATGCTCTATTGACTAAGACAACCAAGCACCCCTCTGTGTTTAACTTTTGACCTCCCAAAACCTTAACCACTAAAAGCCTACTGTTGACTGAAAGCCTTAGAGATAACATAAACATCCCATTAACACACATTTGGTATAAGTATTATACATTGTATTCTTACAATAAAGAAAATGTTAAAATCCTAAGGAAAATACATTTATAGTACTGTACTATATTTATGGCAAAAAAAATTTCACATATAGGTGGACATGCACAGCTCAAACCAGTGTTGTTCAAGAGTGAACATCTATTAAATTAATGAGCTGATTGTAAAACTCATATGGAAATACAAAGGACCAAGAATAGTCAAAACAATTTT